CTTGTCAGTAAAGCCGGTTCCGTGATTGGTAGTAAATCGCCATCACCTGCTTTCAGATTGAGCGCCATTTAATACACAGAGCCGTAGTTCACTGACAAGCTAGGAGATATCGCATTCATAATCGAATGTGATTCATCTGCGATTATGAACGCGATATTGCCTAATTGTCAGTGAACTACGGCTCTGTGTATTAAATGGCGCTCAATCTGAAAGCAGGTGATGGGTCTTGAGACATGTAAAAGTTGAAATTCTGTTCAATTAACAGTACACGGACACAGTCTCCACTCAACTGTATGCAAGTTTTTTTTTTAAACCTTTAAATATCAGTTTCAAGATCATTCGGATGGTAATAACTTGTAATAAGGCGAATGTCTACTGTGTTTTCCCCCCACATGTCTGTTCTGAGTGTCTGTATGTTTGGTGCGCAGGGACGAAACTCTGCAAAAAGGGCGCATTGGTTTACGGCAGAAACAAATGCACGTGTACAGCTATACATTGGTATTACTACAGTGATATGTGCACAATAGTGAATTCCACTCAACTATAGGGGGTTCCAAAGTTGCAATAAAATAAAATAAAAAATAAAACTACATACAGTTGCTTTATTTATTTTTAAGTAATGCGCATCAATGATCTAGAGGTCCGTAAAAAGTAGCGCAATGGAACATGTTCTGTGAAAACCGGCCCTGAAAACAATACACTGAATGAGCATCTTGACTACATGAATGACAGAAGAATGGGTAATTTGATGGAGAGAAATTACAGTATATGAGCACTAGAGTCAGTTCAAAATGAAAAAAGAATTAAATGTATTCTAGCACCATGTACTGCAGGAGTCTGTAGGTAAAACCCATTAAAGCACTTACCTAATGACTTGAAATCTTATATACCTCTTATGTTCTGTAAACTTTTAATTTGTCAATTATGCATTTAAATACTGTTTGTTTAGGTTTTGTACTTTTGAGGAGAAGACATTTTGTGCGTCCTTTAATTTTTATTTTATTTTATGTAATGCAGACTTCTGACAGTGAGATCCTGCACTTCTGTTTCGAATATTGCAATGACAGTACATGTTCAATGTAGAATAAAAGCAATGATTTTTATAACTTATTCCTGTCATCCTTGGTCATTGGGGAACACCACATAAGCATATCATATTGTAGTGGCCTATAATATGAAGCGGTCACATGATCATTTACAAAAAGCTGAGCCACGTTGCTGTGCTGCAGCAGTCGCCGTCTGCAGAAGATAAGCACCGCTCATGCAGCTGCAGTAACAGTAACCTCACCCCGTGGAGACAGCAGTATGGTATCTCAGGAGTGTAAAGTTTCCTGGAATGCCTTTCCCCATACACTAACATAGAAAATCCATTGTGCACATTAGTTTTTTGCTGAATCATCCATGACATCAAATTGTAATTATATCACAGTTGTTCACACGGTTCCTTAAATTTTTAGATTTCATAAAAATCAAGCATAATTTATAAAACTCTTTTAAGAACAGTATTTTTTCATGCTTTGTCATCTATATTTATAATTGAGCAATTCAGAAATTGACAATATATTCATGACAAGCACTATATGGACAAAAGTATTGGGACACCCCCCCTTCTAATGAACAGGTTTGACTACTTATAATTTCCTCGAGTTCAAATCTCAATGTTTAAGCATATAATGATGAATTATGTGCTTCTAATTCTATAGCAACAGTTTGGACAGGACCCTCTTTTAACACGACAATGCTTCTGTGTATAAGGCAAGGTTCAAAAAGAAATGATTGATTCGGTCAGTGTGGAAGAACTTGACTGGTCTGCAGAAAGCCAAGTTAAGCATTTCTTTTTGAACCTTGCCTTATACACAGAAGCATTGTCGTGTTAAAATAGGGTCCTATCCAAACTGTTGCTATAGAATTAGAAGCACACAATTCCCTAGAACATCATTATATGCTTAAACATTTAGATTAGTACTTATGGAAATTATTCAAACCAGTTCATTAGTAGGGGGTGTCCCAATACTTGCGAATATAGTGTACATGTCAAACATCACCCCCTTCTTTAACCTGTTATTTTTAACACCCATTAAGTTAAATGAATATAAAGTGAATAATGCATGGTTTTAAAAGTTCTTATCTTTTAATGTTGTCATATAAATGAGAAAAAGCAAAACTCACTGAAACCCTGATTCATTTGGTGTAACACTACAGTCTAGTGTTCACAAAATGGAATTGCACTTTCACTGATTCAATTAAAGAAATGTTTGTTGAAATTAAAACAAGTTGCAGAATTTCTTATATAGTTATTCCGAAAAAGAAAAAAAACATCAAAATAACAGTTTTTTTCAAAATGATTTTATTGGGTCAATGATGAAGAATGAGGAAGCATAGGTTAGACTATACAATGAAAGCAGGTCTATATTCTGTACTGAGCACAAGAGTCGTGAAATCTTTACCATGAATTATTTCGATATGAGGACTCAAAGCATCCACATTAATCAAATTTAAAAAAAACCTAAGTACAAAAAAACAAAAGGACCAGAAATATCCGAGGCATCAAACTGGAGGCACTAGGAATTCTACTTTGTGGCAGACATAATTCTTGCATAATTATAAACTTGATTATCTGGGCAAAACCAAAAACTGCAAATCGGCCATCTCTGATCAGAATCACGTTTCGTAAAAACTACAGTGAGAAAGACTCCTTTCTTTATACACCATCCTTAACAATTCTTGCAGGAAGAGCGGAAAACAAACAAACGTGAATGGCTAATGAAAGCCAACAGAACTGCGACAAAATCACACCTCAGCAGTGTACAGAGGAGGAATACAGCTAAAGTAGTGTATCTATCTGCAGCATTGCCCTTCCTTTAAACATGTCAACGGTTAGGAGCTGATGCTCATGCTGACACATCTGTCACGGCTACACCAGACAGCCACATCATTTGCACAAGCACTTGGGTTTGCCCTCAAGGCTCCCAGATGCAGGAAGTCTTGGACCTCAGCTATTCCTTTGGGTTTTGGCAAGAACACAACACTTGCTTTATGAAGGTCTTTAAGCTCAAAGGCAGATAATACAAAGTTTTAAGACTCGGCATGCTAGAACTAGTCAGCAAATACTAGAAGCTGATACTCAGTATTTCAGCATCACCATAGGATGCTGAAACTCACTTAAATCAGTCAACATCTTGTGCTTGGAACGGTTTCGAATTTGTAAAGTGAAATACTAAGGCGGATACTACGTCTTTACTAATATTGGACACTAAGACGATGACAAAATCTCCGCAATGCCCGGTTTCCTGGCATTGGGGGGCAGTGAATGGCACTAGAAAACACAGGACACAGTCAGTGGAGAGTGAAGACGTAATACTTGCTTTTCACGAGCCTCCCGGGACTTCAGCCAGGGGCGTAAGGCAGAATTCGACACCAGACAAAGAGTCCTCTACCGCCAGGCCGAGCTGCAACCATCTGAATGCATAGACCACAAATACAGGCACCATTCAGCTGAGATGCACCAGCCAAAAGAGCAAAAAGAGCAACCCTGAATGGAGCAAACTGCGGGCGGGGAGTCAGTATCTCCGGATTTATGGGTACACAGTGGCAAAAAACAGCTATACATTTCAGTGTAGGTTACATATCCATTAGAAAAGAGTGGGTGAGGAGAGTGAGGTACAGACTATTTACATAAAATACTTACTACAACAGTAGTATTCAGGGCAGACATGGCACTATACAACGTAGCTATACACAACTGTTGAGGGAACGAGGTTCACAAAGATCTATCCCCTTTGGAGGAAATTTGTTCTAATTATTGGTACCTTAAAACACGCGGCACTTGTGAATACAGACGTTTTTTGTTAGCGGGGTCTGACCGAGAAGCCAGTTTAGTTTGATTGTGGACCAAAAATCTAATTGTCGCCTGTGAACAAAAAAAAGAGATTCAAAAGAAAGCTAATAAATTAACAAGAAACCATTTTTCGGTCCCTGATGGATAAAGAAGATCTTCCAGACTCTAGCTAGGGCAGAGCGGAGGATGTCGTCTGCAGGTCAGCAAGGAAATGTGATTTCCAGCCACCGATGGAGAGCTACAATTAGTGGATGTTCCTGAAGGACGAACAGTTGCACTTAAGTGGTCTATATTCAGCCCTGAGTTTATGCTGTATGCATACGGCATCTATCAGCTCGCCTAGCGTGGCTAACCAAAGTAAAAATTCAGTTTGTCAAGTGGTACGAATCATAAGCGTTATCCATTAGCAGAGGAAAATCAGAGTGTAAACTTTTGAAACATAACTTAAGACCTTTATCGGTAAATATATTCATAGATCTATATAAAAAAAAATTTAAACTCAATTCTAAAATCTTTACAATTGATTAGACATCTACACATTAAAAACACCAATCAAAACGAGGGGGG